GAATTAACTCCTCAGATTTCCAATAACGTTTCAATGGGATTACAGATACAAACTTCCTGGACCACTGGTGGGGGAGGATTACAATATTTGGATTGCAATGCAGCAGAGCAGAAAGCTGAGAACCAGTTCTTGGTACCACACCTAGAATAACAAAGGAGGAGAGGAAGTGCCACAGACCAAGGAGCCAGCTGAGTGGCAGCGGAGGAGGCTGAATACAGCTAGGACAGGGCATTCATTACCACATGAGCCTGTGGGAGAGAGATTCTAAGGCAAACTTGCATCCTTTCATCTCTTGGCTGGCCATTCTGGGCTTTGCTACTGGGCCTTGGACTCAGTTGTCCTGGGGCTGGTTTTTTGTAATCTGCCACATGGTTGCCTTTAGCGACCCCTACAGAGAGGTAGAACATTTCATTGTGTCCTAACCAAGTTGAGACAAGACCAGGGTTTTTGAAGAATACCTCCTTTTGAAAGAAATAAAAAGCAATAGCAAAGAAATAAAAGCATTTTTAGGAAAGACAACCTGATTCAACTAAGAATAGCCAGAAATCGACTTGGTAAATTCAGTTTATGAAATTCTTCTGTTGCTCCTGTGAATGTGATTTCGATGCTTACTGATTTTCCTACTTTTGGAGAGGTTTGGATTTGGCCCTATTTTGTCTTTGGATGTGTAAGTCCCCTATGATTCTGCTCTGTCCCAGCCAGCCCCGGGCTCTGCCTGCCTTTCTCTTCTGTAATGTCCAGGCGCTACTAGAATCTGGTTCCATTCCAGGCCCAGCAGTTGAAGAAAGCAGTTCCTAACTGATCATAACAGTTCTCCTCCCACATCATGTGAATCTGGAATTTTACGACACCTTGACCTGGCTTTGCAGGTTACATTTGTGATTCTTGGAGTCTTGGTAACATGAGGATACAACAGTGTTTAAATCACCGACTTCAAGGACATTTTACATCAGTCAGTAGGGTCTACATTTTTATTTCATTGTGAGTAGTTTTACCCACTTATCACTGTAAGAAATCGGGTAATATTTGAAATAACTAGACTACTCCACAGGCTGAATTATTTGCTAGTAGCATATTGCATGTTCATTAAAAGCATTTATGGTTTATATTAGTGGAATATAAAATGACATAAGTATGACGATAAATAAGTTAGTAGAATCAGTTGACAAAAAAAAAAGTTAAAATTGCTAGCCTGTGCTAGAATAAAGTAATAAAATTCAACCTAGTGTACAATACTGGCTCTGTTTTTTCCCTTTTGCTTTTTTTTTTTTGTGTGTGTGTGAATTCACATAGGAGATGCCAGCTAAATGCCTTTCTTCCTTCTCTTTCTCCTTCCCTCCCTCCTTTTTTCTCCTTCCTTTCTCTTTGCCTTTCCTTCTTCATTTCTCTCTCTCTCTCTCTTTTCCTTCCTTCCTTCTTTCACCTTTGGTGCTTTGTGCTCTCATTATTCTCTGATTGTTTATTGGCCAGCTTACTGAAACTTTCCCTGAATTCTTCATCTGCAGAGAGTTACAAAACTTAGATGACCGTGGCTGTGCTGGGGAATGGACCCAGATCACTTGCGTGTTAGGCCTAGTGCTCTATTTTTAATTATTTTGAATAACAGAGAATCTTTGGAGCAGACTCACATGCCAGAGCACTGAAAATACAGAAAACAAGAAAACATAGTCACTGTAAACAATACAAAACAATTATGGCTTCAGGATGCTCTGGGTAGCACAGACATTGATTTTTTTCTTGGTTCCTAGCAGTTGTAAATTAAGGGCATCATCTTAGTTTACATAATCTTTACAATAGCAGTAGCTTCATTGAACATCTTCATGCAGGATTTAAGTTTGTATTTTTTCTTTTTCCTTTTAACATGAGCTTGATAACATATAGATTGGAAAGAATAAATCCACCTAGAGATGGGAAGAAAAGAGAGGCAGGAGGTCTATTTCACAGGCCATTACATCATTTAGTGGAGGCTCTGTTCTGTTTGTAGGACAACATCGCTTCTAGTATTGGAAAGCAGTGTATTTTGCTTTTTCTTGTTTCCCGCAGTTCCGTTCACTGACTTGACTTTGCATCAGACAAGGTGCAGGCTGGGAGTGTACCAAGTAGAAATGGCCTGATAAATACCCCAGCCCTCCAGTTAACTTTTGAAACTATAGGGAAATTATGACCTTTCACTATGTGTCAGTATTAAATAGCTTAACCTAAGCGTTTCTGTGTCTCCCCTGTAAAAGAAGGTATGGAGTAGGAAATATCTTGAGTATGAGGCTCTTCTGTTTTGCTTCCTTAGAAGAAGGGATGTTTACTGGTTTAAGAAAGGAGGGCAAAAGGATGTGTGCCTTTTGGTCTTTTTTTCCATCTTAAAGAACTTTCTCCCATACCAGGGAAGGCCCAGCAAGTTCAACATGTGTGTCTTCAGAAACTGGTGATTCATAAACCAGTTAATGTTTGCATTAAGCTCTCCAGGGATGTCTTTCTTGCTCTCAGCCTATTCTGGGAAGCATTTTTTGGAGAGATTTTTGAAAAGCGAAGAAGCTGGTGCTTTTAGCTTACAAATTTCAATGACACTAATATTAATGTTAATTACAATAATAACAGTAGTTAACTCTAGGCTTTTATTGTATATTAGTTGCTACTCAGAGTGCTTTATTTATTTATAAGCATGGTTTATTTAATCTTTAGAAAAAACCCATTATTATTCCCATTTTGTTGGATGAGAAAATTGAGGGCTATTGAGGTGAAGTAATTGGCTCAAAGCAGCATCACTGGAAAGCAACAGAACCCTGATTACAAGTCCAGATCCTGTGTTCCAGCTACAGGGCTTCACTGGTCTGTAATTTAAAGGTATGTGCCTCAGAGGTAAGGAGCGGAAGCTGGATGATTTTAAGTCTTTGATCCAAAGTCCCAGGAGCCAGCAGTATGAAAATCCGCGTCTAGAATTTATTTCCACTTTATTGGTGTGTACTTCTTTAGGTTTACTCTCTAACCTTTATCATCTTATGGCTGGCCCAGTCTTGTTGAGAAATATAATTGGTTTGCTATGGTTTTGAGTCCTGGAAATTATTTTTTCCATTTAGAATGATTTTCTTGGTATGGAAGCTTGCAGGAGAGAATTTACCTTGGTGGTAGAAAAGGTGAATAACCTGGCTGGGGATATAGCTCAGCACCACAGAACCTGTCTGGCAAGTGTGAGGTGCCGCCCCCCCCCCCAAAAAAAAAAAAAGGAAAAAGAAAGAGAAAAGGTGAACATTGGTGCCATAGTTCTTGTTTTTGAATCCTGCTTGTGCCAGTTTTAGCTATGTGATCTTGGACAAGTCATAGACCTCTCTTATATTTTAATAGTCTCATCTGTAAAATGGGTTAATCACACAGGGCTGCTGGTAGGAATTAGATACGTTCATACGGTAAAATTTCATACTTCAATGTCTGGCATGTGACAGAACATTTTCTGCTTTGATTAGATTATTGTTTGTTAGAAATGACCATTAAATTAAACCCAACACATTTTCTAGCACATGTTTGGTATTCTGTGGCTGTATACGGAAAGAAGGAAAATAATTCTAAGTTGCCTTCTGTTGTTGACCTATGCTTTTCATGCTGATTTGCAGAATAATGTAGAGGATGAGTTATTTTTGCTGTTTGTGTCAACAGCCCTTATTCACCAAGTCGGAGGAGCAATATTCTGTTACTCGTCTTCTGTTACTTTCTAACACTTTTTTTTATCTACAAAACTATTAGTTTTTATTGAGACTGTGTTGAAGAGTATTGAATACATCCAAGGTACTATTAGTGACAAAAAGTTTGTGCCACCGTTTTTAAAAATGGATGTTAATGTCTTTGAATCTTTTCTTGTCACATTTCCAAGTCGTATCAATTACCCATTAAATATTAATTTTATCACAGGAGCAGTAATGTAATCATCAGTAAAAAAGACTAGATGGCAGTACATTTAGCAGTGAGAGGAAACCTGGCAAAGCAGGATTTATGTCATTCTCCAGCAGCTTTTGTACAAGATTTTTGCATTTTCCGTTTCTTTTTCAAATAACACTAGAATCAAACCCCTTTAAAGGGAACTCACCCATCCCTGTTCACGTGTGTCATTCCTGCATCAGAGAAAATGCTGCATAATCCTGAGATGACAGCCCCACCTCTGATGTCACTGAGGATGGTACAATCCTCTCCGAGCCTTTGCCGGGCTTCCTGCTGCTGCACTGGGGACATGGTTATATTAAAGCCAACTCCCGGCATCTCAGTTATCTCCTTGGAAGTAGTTTTCACAATTAAAAAAAGCCCTACGGTGGCTGTTTTCGGTAAGCTCCCAAGGTAGAGAGCCACAGAGGCAGAGAGGGAGAGCGAGCTGGGGAACAGGCTGCTCCGCCTTTGTGAGAGGGACCAAGGCAGCAGCTCCTCGGCTCAGCTCGGGTTCCAAGTGCCCAAAGTGCTTCCATTTACATCACCGTGTACGGTGCAGGGCAGAGGGGGCTGCCAGGAGATCTGAAACTAATTTGCCTCCAGTTGACTAGAACAGCGTATTTTGCATTAGCTTGCTTCTTTTCTAGCTAACTTTTTCTCAAGCATTAAACTGATGAACTGGGCATTTTCTATGATCAATGGGTAACTGCTGGAGCTACAGTAATCTCTGTGAGTAACCTCTATTTGTAGGTCTATGCAGGCAAATATATTTTGATTTATCTATCTCTTGTAATATGCTGCTGTGAAATTATCCGTCGGTATTATTGACTGCCTTTGCTTACTAGTCTTGTCTTCTGGCCGTCCCAGGAGGAGACTTCGGGGGCTAGCCCGGCTTCTGAAGACTGCTGCCATAGGGAAGAGCCTATTGCGTTCATTTGGGAGCCCCCAACAATCTTTAATTCCCCAGTGATCAGAAAGATGTCACCTTTACTGTACCTCACCTGGCTTTAACTTGGAATGTTTATTGTTGCATCTGGCATTGAATTTTTCAAAAATTGTATTTTTTAAAATAGAAAGCAGAATATTATTCTTACCTGTAATCTTACTTCATCCCCGCCGCCCAGCTTTACTGGGAATACAGAATTGTATCACCCTGCCACTCTATTTCTGTGCCTGTCTGGGATGTACTATATAGGCAGCAAGAGTCCCTGCAGTTTTAGAAAGACATCATATTGTGGTGCTGGTTGGGATGGGGAGGAGTTTCTCTTAAAGAACCCAAACTCCTTTTCATCTGCTCGCTGGCATCCGAGCTGCATCTGAATAGTGGAGCGGAGGACAGGGTTGGTTACATGCACGCTCTGGGAACAGTAAGGCTGAGTGGAATCCCTGCTGGAAGCTCAGAGCAGCTGTTTTATTTCCTAGGTTTACACGCAGGGGTGTATCTTTGCTGTCTGTCCAAAGTGTCACTTTTATAGTAACTAAAGATTTATGTCTCTCTTACCAGGGAAACATTCAACTTTCTGTAAAAATTGCAAGTGTAGATACCTTTGGAGTCGTTGTTTGCCTTCCTTTGTAGCCTGAGTTTCTGAGCCTGAAAACTGCTGAATGTGAATGTGGTTCCCTTGAGGCTCATAAACCGGTGGCTGATTAAAGCTGTGGTTTACCCCTGGCACTGACATCTGTCTTGAGAAGTGCCAGTCCGGAGAGCGGCAGCTGTAATTCACCATTATTGGTAGGAACTCTGGCTGCTTGGCACTTGTAATTATTTTTTTTTTAAAAGAACTACGTAACATTAAAACCTCAATTTTAATTTCTTAAGTACCAAACTGCTTCTTAAAATACTTTACAGAAGAAGCATTTAATAGTAATACCCCTGCATTCATGTTAACTTCAGCAGGAGGACGTAACTATAAATGATTTTAAACTTTGTTTTTACTTTTAAAAATATAATAAAATCTAAGGAACTCAGTGAAGAGAGGAAAAGTTTGAAAAATGGATTTTTAGAGATGTGGATTCCTAATCAGGAAGAAGCAGTAGGAAATAGGAATAATGGGTTAAAATCAGAGGAGCAACTGATCAGAAGAGATGAAGCTGCAAGGGGAAGCAAAGCACAAAGTGTGGGTGTAAAAGAACAAATTATGAGGGGTGGATGAGAGACAACTCTATTGGCTGAAAAAAGGAAAGCAGATTTTTAAGGATAAACTCAAATCCAGCCCTATATCCAGCCTTTTCCTCCATGGAAAAGAGTGCTCAGCACAGTTGCAGGGACTTTGCTTGGGAATTAACAGGCTGTTCTTTGCCTCCCTCAGCTGGCTAGTGCTGTTTGCAGTGCTGCTGCTTAGTTTACAGAGCTTCCTGTGAAATCGCCTGGAATGGGAATCAATGATCATTCCCCTCCAGGGATTAGAACTGAATGAGAAAAAATGGGTTCTGAATCATTAGTATGTGAAATTTAGTTTGTAGTAAGAACAGCTGTAACCATTAATCACTGAAGGAAGAGCATCCAATTAATGCAATGTTTGCTGCTTGTGTGCACATTTAAAAGCTTGTGTAGTGGTTGGTAGGCCTTTGCTCGGCTTTTGCAGTTCATAAAACCTTAAATATGTGTGCTTTTAGAGTCCTGGAGATGTCCAGACCATAGCTAGCATCCTCAACTGCACACTGCAGTCTTCTCCAAAATGTGACTTTTATTAGGGGAAAGAGAGTGTCCCAAAATATAATGCACTTAGGTTACTCAGTTAGCAAATTCTCATTACTCATACTCATTTTCTGTTATTTTTATCATGCCAAATATATTTTGTCTTGCTAAGGAAAATGGATTAGATTATCCTCCTGTATAGTTTTAATATTTTTTCCCATTGAAGGGAGAATAAAAGCAATGGATCAATTACTTTGTTGCTGGAGATGTTTATTGATTATTAGAATTCATAATTAAGGGTTATAGTTACTTACAGGTGAGGTGTATTTGGCTTTGAGTGGCTTGCTTTTTGTATTTGCTTTGTGAACTGGGCATTTATCCAACATACTTTCTTCAGGGCCACGTACAGATACCATTGTACAGACTTTACTAAGGGTCGAGTTCATATTTGCAGTTATTTTAGCACTTTATGACCTTTTTCCTGTAAGCCTACAGCTCTTGATCATTTATTGTGAGAGATCTTTAACACAAGCTGTGATACCAGGAAGAGACCCTTGACCAGGATCCCAGGGTACTTGGTAATAAGAGGGCAAACCCAGAGCACAACAGCCAAGCCTTTCTCTCAATAAGAATGAAAGACTACTGTTTCTTGGAACTTTCTTTAGTTGTTGTCTCAGTGATTGGATGGTTGGACTTTTCACTTAGGAGATAAGGACTTGCGATTAGAAAATAATAGTTTAAATGCTGTCAGAATGACTTCCTGATACTGTCATTTTCTGGAGCGGTGTTTCTTGTTTTTTACCATGTGTATGAATCATCTGGGGTCCAGATAGAAGCCCACAGAATTCTGCTTGCGAATGTCAGGAGTGGTGCCAGAGAGTCTTCATGTCTACAAACCTCCTGGGTGACTTTGTGTTGTGGTCTTAAACCACCACATTGTTTATAAGGCTCTAGGGCAGTGCTTTCAAATTAAACTTTTGGTGATGATTGGATGTTTTCTATCTGTATAGTACAGTATATGGTGGCCATTAACTGTAAAGATACAGAGCACAGAGGAACTGAACTTTCAATTTTATTAAATTTTAATTAATTTAAATTTTAATAACCATATGTGAACGTGGTTATAGTATTGTACAGCATAGTGTTTAGAGAGTACTCAGTGAGAAATTCATGTGTAATGCTAATTGCCCATGTAGGATCATCCTGAATTCTAGAACTGTGGCCAAAATGATCTCTGGACTTTACCTCTGTCTGAGCTTCATCTACCAGCAGACAGCAGTGCAGCTGGAGTTGCTGGGCTATGATGAAAGGCCCTTTATGGTAAGAGCCATGTTGGCCCTGTGTATTGTTCTCTTCCCCAGTGCTTGACACATATTGGTACTCTGCATCTATTTGCTGAGGAAATAGAAGAACCAACTTGGTCTAAAATTAGGGCACCGCCACCATGATTTCCCAGCATTGTACTCAAGAGTGTATTTTGAAGCAGCACCTAGAACTTGGGCAGGATTTACATGGAGTTTGCTGTGTTTAAGGAGCCATCTTCTTCGTGTGTCAGTCTTGAGGTTCCCCTTAATTCACATCTTACTGGTTATAGGATAGTTTTTATTTCATTCATTCAGCAAAACATTCATTTTGCTAGGTTCTAGCAATATAGGCTCTGGGGATAAAGAAAAGCAAAAATTCTTCTTTTTCGACATTTATTCTAGTGGTGACAACAACAATAACAATAGTAGCAGCAGCAGCAAAAAGCAACACAAAAACGTCTTCCAAGAAATGACAGGATGCAGGTTCTAGGAAATTTACATGTGTAGAATTCATAATTGTAGATAACTGTAGTTTTCTTCAAGGATCTAGGCATAAATGTTATGTCTATATTTTCTGGCAAAACCTGTATACTGTTACTCACAATTGTTCTTGGTAAGCTGCTTTATTGAAATTTCTGCAGTAGATGTGCTAGTTTATTGATTTATTCATTTATTTGACAGATTGTCACTTGTATTTATTTATTTATTCATTTACTTGACAGGTGGTCCAGTTCAGGTTGGCCTTGGACTTGCTTTGTAGCTCAGGCTGGCTCTGAACTCCTGATCCTCCTGCCTCCACCTCCTGACTGATGGCATTATAGGCATATACCACCAGTCCTGGCTGGTTTTTTTTCCTTCCTTGAACTATTTTCTTTTAAGGAGTTTGCTAACCAGAGCAGAAGAAACTTCATTTTATTTGCTGGTTCATCAACAATTTCATTCTCAGAAAGGTCAATTTTTCTGCAGTCAGTCTTATGAAACAGACTCATTTCCTCATAATTTGAAGAAATTGTCTTCCTATTCCATCATTTTATTACAATCCAGTCCATGTGTTATAGAAACAGATGGCTATTTAATACAAAACTCAAAGTACTTTTAAAGTTGATCTGGTTAAGTATTTTTCTTCAGTATATTAAATCAAAAGAAAAAAATTAAGATTACAGTCAGTGGGTTTATAGTTGTCACAGGAAAAGAGTCTCAGCCGAAAAAGAAGAAACATAATGTGTTAATTATATGACCAGATATACAAAGTAGTAGGTGAGATTGCTAGAAAAGGACAATTTCTAATGACTACAGATACCTCCACACCAAGGTACTATGCATATTTTTCATACAAGTGTGAAAATCTCCTTTTTTCCTTGAAGGAAGAATGAAAAGTCTTCCAGCTGTATCTCCTGCATAGAAACAGCGTTAATGATCCCAGCCCTTCTGCTCAGACCAGGCATCATAGCATTCAGCATCACACCCGTCTTCCACGCGATGCACTCTTCTGTTACACGGCAAGGGCATTTTATCTGCGATGTTTGCATTCCTTGTGATCCTTTGAATCACCTTTAACAACAAACAAAACTTTGCAAACTTAATCCTGATGATTCCTTCACCCCTTACATACTGTACACTATATTTTCATTCTTTTAAGGGGGAGAAGTACAGTTAGGCCATGGACTCTTTATTAATTCAGATTCTACTAGCCTCTGGTTTAGGAAAGTGCTAAAGTACTTTTTTTTTTTTTTTTTTACACATAGTAAATCTCTTTGTCACAGATAGGAAACCGAATTTGGGCAGGATTAATCCACTGGGGCCTTTTGGAGGGGAAATGTCTTGAGTCATTCCTACCTTAGTACAAGATGAAGACTGGGAGAAAGACAAAGGGGGCTTCTTTAATCAGGCAGCTGTGGGAGCCCAGAGCAGCTGCTGCGGCCAGGCAGTGGCCTCCGGAGTATGTTGACATTAGCAAAAGCCAGGAAAGGGCTAGAGTGGTAATGGTGCCGATACTGGAGGAAGGAGAGCATCTTGGGAGGTCCAGCATCTCTTGCGTCTTTGTTGATTTTGTTCCCGTTTGCTGTGGCACAGGCGCTCGTTATCTTTCACCTCTGTGGTGGCCATTCTCAAGTCTGTTTATGCTCACACACTCACCCTTATGTCTTGTACTTGCTACCAAGATGGTCCTTCTAATACACTCAGCAGCTACCACACTCTTGACAGTAGTGTTTGGATCCACTGTGTTCAGTATATGGAAGATAATTAAATGTAGGTGGAGTGTATGAA